ATAAAATGCTGAAAGAGCTTGCCTGACTTGCTGGTGTATGTTTAGAAAAGCGAACTTCTCTCAGGATCCCGCCTCTTCGGTGACGTCGGGCGAGGAACGTGGCCCTGTGGCGCCGTGTTTACCAGCGACTTCTCCTTGCCTCGTTCACTCCGAGTCTTGGCTTGGCGCTTGCCGTTCCATTTCTTAACGTATTTCTCTCCAGTAAGCTTCCCGCTGATAGTCCTTTTTGTCTTGTGGAGCTCTTCCCGGTCCTTGTCACAAGCTCGAACCCCAGGTATATGTCTCGCGCCAAACCTTTCTTGTCTCGCAAAGTTTTTTACATTTGACCCACCCCTCCTCCGCGTATGTACAGAAGGCGCAAAAATTCCGTAAGTTTCACTTATGTTCTTCACTTGGAAGCCGCAGTCACGGGCGAACCATATCTGATGTTTTGCGTTGTAATGGGTTTCTTTTCATCTGCAGGGATGATGACATCCATATGCTGTTCCGTGGAGGTTTGGACCTTTGTTTTCCGACGGCGTCTTGCCATCCGCTTACGAGGTAGCCGTTATCCAAGTCTTGTTTATATTCGGGCGGCTCCCGCTGGGGTTTATAATAAGTGGACAGACGGTAACATTTCACGAATGTATACTCTCTCATATACACGCGGACCACTCAATTTTTCTGGAACTTACGACTCTTTCATATATCACCGATCACCGACACCAACGCAGATGTGCATATGTTGTGCCCCAATCATTTTAACCAAGCTGGGTTGTCATCATGTTTTGCTTCTCTATTTTATACAGTCTAGGTCCTTCTGTTTATTTTCGTCAAAGTGGCGCCGGTTTTCAACATGAAGGTAATCATGTCTTCGGCGATTTGAGCTGTCAGGTTTCCTCCCTGATGGTTCTCCCGCATTGTCTCTATACACGTTAAGGTATGTTACTGTTGCCAACCATGTTGTTGACGGATGCTTTCTATCAAACTATTATAAGCCTCGATCCTCCCCCTCTTATATGTCGTTTCTATTATTCATACCCGCTGGATGTCAGTTAGTCTACTAGAATGTCATGTACTGCCAACATGACAACAGAGTCTAAACATGTGTGGACTGGCCGTTGTCTTAGGCTAGCGAGGTAATTCGAACATTCAAATGAGTTAATCCCGACGGTAATGGTAAGGACCTATGGAGACCTCGACGACAATTGTTGGCTTGTCCAATATAATCAGTACGTAACGCAAAGTATGATTCGATAAAATTAGCAACACGCGCGCGTCTAAGTTCTTCGAGCCTCGATCGGGGAATTCCCTATTATGTGGGTACTTCTCGTCGTGCATTGTGTTTTGGATTGATCAGTATCAGAAGGTGAAACTGCGAAGAAAGGAGCGATGAAGCTCGACAGGAGGGAAGTTATCGACGCTATGAAACTTGGGGAATGAGAACTATCAAAAATGGAGCGGCGTGGAGGGGGAATGGCAAGATCATTTGATGTCGGTTCCTGGGTACGAGGATGGAAAGAGTCTATTTCGGCGCCGGCGTGACGGTGACGGAGGAAAAGCCCTATGGGGATAGGCAATGAGGTACGAAGATCATCAGAGTCGATATCTTCAAAATGGTATGGGCGGCGGGTCAGTAGGCAGAGGGGCTTGGGAAAAATAGACAGAAAGTCCGATGGACGGGAACCCGAAAATTGAGTGTGAGGTGGAGCCTTACATGGGCTTAACACGGACTCAATTTCAGCTGAGACAACGATGGATAGACAGGATATCGGGACATTACATTCCGAGTGACGGTGGTGAGTAATTGACGGTGGAGATAGTCATCGGTGGATATTAAGGGCCCGTTATTGGCAGCTCAATAGACAGAGTTCGGATGGATGAAATAGAAGAAAAGAACAGAATAGAATAAAGCAAGGCAAAGGCTAGTCGCTGGTAGTTAAATCGGGAGATCAAAGCAATCCAGTTTAGGTCGCTAACAGCCTAATTGAATAGAGAGACATGGGTATGGGACTGCGGCGGAACATGGGTGGAGATTTGAGATGGGTGGATGCTGCGATGAGAGCCTAAGACTGGCCATCATGGAGCCAACAAGCCATTGCATTGGGCTGCCCGTTTTCCGAGAGCCCAGCCAGACATAGGAGCACCCGAACACGTACGTCTTCGGAGGCAGTAATTCTGCGAGACGTAGGCTCGATACCAGCCTGTTTCTTTCCTGGAGACCCACCCGGGCTGATGATCGTTTAATAGAACAGTCGCCATATGGAATGGGAGTGGAGATTACCTGACAAGTGGCCCGATAATGGTGAAACGTGCAACTCGAATGACGACTCGTGAGTAAGTTTGGGATAGTCTTTTTTCTCGGAGAAGAACTGAATGAAAACACGAGACTAAATGGGCCTGGCTGCCATATGGAAGACCATCCCGCGAAGCACGTACGACTCGCAGATCAGTCCTGGACTGCTGTCGGATGACACTTCTCCGCTGGGCAAGTCGCCGGTCGCTACTTGCAGCTGAGGATCTACTACGATTGTGTAAAATCTAGGATCACAATTAATTATCGATTTGATCCGTTTCGTGTTTTGTGACCATCCGAGGAGGCGAAAAGAGGGCTGTCCGCGGGTTTGACAGCCTCGAATACAGTATATGGCTCTCTTTGAATTTTTCGAACTAGGAAGATACTAAAAATAGATCATGTGACGCGCGTGACATACATATCCCGATAATATTTTTCATTTTGGCCTTTTCATTTTTGTTTCCGTCCACGACAAACTCGTAACATTTAACATAATGCGAGCCGAATATGCAGCGAGTCCGTCCATGTTAAATATCGTTATCCTTCATCCTCCATGACCATTTGCTTTGTTTCTCTGCATGTCGTCCCCTGCTGCTTCAACGTCCCCTTCCCCCGCCGCCGTCGTCGTTGGGAGCGACGACGGCGCGCCCAGCAGTCCCCGTGCACCCTCGCCGCCGCCCCGACTAGCCGTGGTCACCCCGCCCGTCTCCACATCACCCCCGACGATCAAGCGCTCTGACTCCCCGCCCCCGACGCTAGGAAAGCGGCCCCGTGCGGCCTCTGTCCCCGGCCCTGACAATAGACCACCCGTCATCGAGGATAGGAAATACCGCGGCGACAGGCCCCTCCAGCCCTCAGAGTACGAGAGCGGTCGTGTCATATGCGAGACCTGCAGCACCAGCGTCTCTTTCCGTGACGAGCACAGCGGCGAGTTCACCCTCAAGCATTGGGAGGCGCATAGACTCACCTGGTCAGTCGACTTTGCTCACTATTTTTCACTCTTGTCGCTCATGTCTTACGGACGTGATACAGCAGTGAGCCTAATCCTACCCCGCCGCCTCCAACAAAGCGCCGTCGTGCCAAGCGCACCGAAGATGAACGCATCGAATATCTCCGGAATGACCCCTACGTTGCCCAGTTCGAGGCATACAGGGTCCTCTGTGCCTCGTGCGACAAGTGGATTAGGCTCAGGCCGAACTCGACCTACTGTAGCATTCCCTGGGATGCTCACCGTAAGAGCTGTCTCGCAAAGAAAATGTATGTGTTCCATCCCATTTATTCCTCACATATATTCAATAATTCCGCCAGAACCTCTAAAAACACCTATGCTCTCGAGCAGCGCAACGCTGCCTTCTCAAAGGATCCTGACGTCCGAAAATTCGACGCTGAGCGCGTGCTGTGCGCCCTATGCGACTGTTGGGTACCTGTACCCGTTCCAGACGACCGTGAGCTCTGGTCTCAACACCGTAACGCATGTCGCGCGCGCTCTCTCAGCCACCACCACCATTCCTCGTCTAACCAGAGCGCCAATCAGCCCTCGTCGTCATCCCAGCCTCAGCCTCAGCCTCAGCCTCAGCCGCAGTCGCCTCGCCGACCGACGGATTCCCCGCCAATCCACGCTTCGTCCCAACCACCGTCCTCATCCACTCCTGCCCACGAGAGTAGGAGACGCAACGCCGAACAGCGAGCAGCTACTCTTCGCGCGGACGCCCTCATTCTCTCTGTCGAACCAAACCGGGTCTTCTGCAGCCTCTGTCAGAAATGGGTCCAACTCCGGCAAGATTCGAGCTTCTGTGCCTACCCGTGGCTGCAGCATCGCGGCAAGTGTTTAATGCGGAGGTACGGCAGTTCGAATTCTTCTTGATTTATTCACATCTTTATTAATCCGAGTTCCTGGATCTAGTCAAAAACGGGCCCAGAAGGAGCGCGAACAGCGTCACTCGACTTCGGCACCGTACCCTGTCCATGCGCAACCACCACGGCCGCGCCTGACTGAGGTCGAGTCGGAGGAAGACGAAGACGCAGAAGGGAGCTGGGACGAGGACGTCGTCGGTCCCCGTGTCAGCGCCTCGGTGTCGTTCACACCGGCCCAACCGCCTCCCCCGAGAACTTTGACCACATCGCCGTCTCCTTATGTCGACCTGGACAGTCCCGATGGGAGGTAAGTATCATTCCATCGTTACTCACGCTACCGTAATTAATATCGATTGTGACGTAGGTTATCTCACATCCATACGTCTTTGATACACCTTTTCAGGACAACGTATTCTGTTCCTGACACCGACCTGACCGTCGCTGCTTTGGTTGGGTTTCTCAATGCAGGCATGCCAGAAGATCGGTGGGAGGAGTTTGATTTACGCGAGGTCGTGAGAGGTGTTGGCACCCTGGCTCGCGAGGGCAGGGGGGAGAGGAGGGTTGAGTTAGAAGGTGATATCGTTAGATGGAGATGATTCTCCACTTCTTCACCGCATAGATATATCTATTATGTTGTGCTCCTGTTATCTGTTTTGCTTTCGTCGCTGCTTTCTTGGAATCTTGTAATCTGTGTAAGATATACAGCATGCATCTTATTATTGGACTCTCATTGCTCTTACTGTGGATTTCTCTCAGAGATATATGTATTGTGTGACGAAGTTCGTTCTGCGAATTTGATTGTAATTTTGATTTAGACGATCAATTTCGAGGCCTTGCAGATGAAGATTCCTCTGGAAGAGACTACATGTGTACGCCGATGGTGAAACGGTTATCATGCTTGCCTTCCATGACGTATAGCAAGCGGTAGGGGTTCGACTCCCCTTCGGCGTATGATCAGACTTTTATTTTTCAATTCAACCTATCTTTCTTTAGGGCTGCGCACGAAAACCCTAGGGCGGGTTTGATACCGTTTTGTACTCACCTTACCTGGGGGAGGTTCTTACCGATAGGGTAATTTACCGTTTCTTACCGGGCACGTGACCGCTGCAGAGCCATTTTTTCAAATTCTTCTGGATGACGTCGTGACAGTACGCTGCCCCATTGTCGTACCTCAAATACCCATGAATTCTGTCCCAATACCCATCATAACTCTCTGGCCATGTCTTCTTACTTCTTACTGCTCTGTGAAGTGAAATTACCAAAATCATTGGTGGTAATATTGTTACGTGGTCGGTAAGTTACCTCAATCACCTTGCTTGCAAGGTCTCTCAGGGTCGACTTTTGAGATTACGTTAGCCCATCGTGTCGCGTGATTTTTCCCACAGCATGATGCGATTGGGTCATCGCCACGGTGAAATATCATTTAGGACGTACAACACTGTTTTTCGTGTCAATCGAACTGTAAAGACAGACAAATCTAGCATTGTGATATGGCTTCTCATATTGCTAATTATTAAACTATTCGATTTGATTTACTGATTCGAGTCGATATCTTGCATTTTCGTTATGTAAGATGGACAACTGAAACCTTACGTCACAGGCGTAATGGACGGTGAAAATCGGACCTCTTTCTGGAACCGTCACCCAGTGAGACGATGTCCTTTCATGATGGCATTCCGATGGCATCTATACTTGATGATATCGATCTAAAAAGTATAGTCATGGTATTAAAGGACCATCGGGTATGTTCCAATTCCATTATATACATCTAGCTTACATCTTTGGGTAGATTTTCGTCGGACCCTCTATAGTGAACAACCGGGAATATTTATACTATTTTATTGGAAACTGCAATGACATTCAACAAGACGCCTTTCGAAATTATATCATACGACGATTCCACGGAGTCAACCATGTGTGCTTGAAGTCATCTACTTCACTGTTACCATACATTCTGAAAATACGGCGACATGGCACAGTGATCTTGGTTAGATATTTGCTGCTAACTAATATAAATCCATTTAGATGCCTCAATGGAAACTCATTACACATGGCAAGAGTTGTTAAGCCATTTGGATATGGTAGATCTCAAAAGATCATATGTGAACGGGAATGGAACACAGGCAACCCTCGGTTTATCGATGGTTCTTCAGTCGAAGCGACGGTACGAGGATATCATAAAGATGGTATTGTGGAGGCTCTTCGGTCCGTTTCTCCAGCAGAAATCATTCCGTATGAGCTTTTACGAGAGATAAAGGCGACCATATACCAGTTTTGTTCACTTCTCGATCCAATCGCTTTAAATGACTTTTGACAGCATCTACAGCAACAACTTCTTCCTATAATGTTCTGGGACGGTACCCTGGTTAGTGACGAATATGAATCCATGGCTACGCCAATTTATGGTTATGTCGTCAATATTGCAAAGGTAAGCTTCAAGATTTTGGAAGTATAGGAATAGTATAATTGATGAATTTGAAGAAGACTTTCCTCTTCCATCCAGGATGACTTGGGCAGATTGTTATCATTGCCTGAGATCCCATGAGTTCGAAGAGGTGCAAATGCTGGTGAGGGACCACCGTTTGAAATTGAGAGTCCCCATATTCCATCCTGACTCGGCAGTTAGCGACATTTTGAATCCCTTACCATTGCGTCGTGCATGCGAAATACTAGTCTCTGTATGACGTTCCGACAGAGATGACGAATCGAAAAGAGGTTTTTATACAATTTTGCACGATTCTTCCACTGAACGTGTCTGATCTTTTCCTCGTGGAACTCAAAAAGGACTACAAGAATCAAATTCATTACGCTAAATGTGTTCGCTGATACGCTGTCAGTGGAAATCCAACCAAGAAGTAAGTACGCTTACGAACTTCGAGCATAGGAAAACCTATTTCATCGACGTCGGCGCCGTAGGTACACAGACCACGCACCTCCATATTTAATATAAATCACTTTGTATACATGATACCTCCCTGCCTGATCTCTTCATGTGCACATTCAACCACGACGATAACCGCAAAGCAAGGTATCGAAGTCGTCAACCGACGACCGCTAGTGTAATATGCTCCACTGACCTGTGGTTTCTTACCAGTTTCTTACCGGTCCGACACCGGGAAAACTGGGGGGTTTCGTGTGCAACCCTATCTTTCTTCTTCCTCGTCTTTCGAGAGACCGACTCCAGAGATTTATCTGATATCATTGGTGTCTGATGGTTGAACATTGATTTAACAGCGACGACTTCAAAAATATAAGAACTATGTATCAGAAGACATATTCGAAGATTCGGATACGGGGAATCGAACCCCGAGCTGCCGCGAATTTAAATGAGAGGCGGCAATGTTAGCCGTTACACCATATCCGACAGCTATACTGAGCAAAACATCATCTTTAGCTTTGAGCTGTTCCGGTTGATCGGGCCGATACCACGTGTTGACCAGTCCCTTCGTTTTCATCTTCACGTCGACACTGATCCTCTTGCCTGCCGACCGTCACTAGCAACTTGCAGCGTGTTGTTGCTTACACTCGAAATTATCTCCTCATCAAAATGAATGTAGCCGCGCTGCTACAAGATTCCCCTTCTGACGACCGGCGGCCTGGAACCGCTAGCGGGAGCAGCACAAGGTTGACAGGTCCTGGGGTTGCTGTCGATGGTAGTGGTAGTAGCGGTGGGGGCGTAGGTGGCGGAGGGAGACTGTCTGACTCGGGGCGGATACCTGACGCTACTGTTAATGGTGCTGCTCGTCTTCCTGATGTAGGTGTTGGCGTCGGGGGCAGAGTCGTAGAGACCAGGTTACCCCCCACTGGGCCAAGGGAGATGGTTCGCGAGCCACCAAGAGAACCCAGGGAAGACAGAGAACGGAGATTGTCGAGGGAAGCTGGTGACCGTGCACCGCCGAGGGAGATAGCAGCTATGGATTCCCGACTACCTCCGCGGGAGCCAAGAGACGAGAGGCGAGGCCTCCATTTTCAAAGACTGTGCGTTCATTAAAGCCTTTCTTCTAGATTGGTTCCTCGAGAAATTGAAAGGCTTCCACCTCGTGAGCTCAGAGATGACAGGTGTGTTTGACTCTCGTCTGTCCTATTCCTAAAGTAATGGAGAGCAAGGCTCCTACCACGAGATATACAGGTTGAGCGACAAAATGAACGGTAAGACCTTTCACTGATTATTAGATATTATAATAAAATTTGTGCACAGACCAATTGAACGGCTTCCGCCTCGCGAACCTAGGGATGATAGGTAATCGCCTCCTCATTGTCTTTGTGCCATCCGTCTGACATTAACAAGACTGGTACCGCGGGAAATGGAGCGACGAGATGACAGGCAAGCTCCATGTCTTTAATCTCCATGCCGAATATTCACCCCCCTGTTGTTCAGACCATTGGAACGACTCCCTCCACGCGAGCCTAGAGATGATCCTAGGTGCGTCGTACGGTGCTGTTCGTCTGCATTATTCATTTATGGCTCACAGGTTGGTCCCACGGGAGATTGAGCGAATGCCACCCCGCGAACCGAGAGACGATAGAACCCCCAGAGAGATTTTACCTCCTCGGGACATGGAACGTAGGGATGAGAGGCTTCCACCACGCGAAATTCCACCCCGCGAAATTGACAGACTTAATCCTCGCGAAATGGAACGCATACCCCCGCGGGAGCCTCGTATACCTACACGAGAAAGAAGCTTGATCCGGGATGAAAGATTACCACCCAGGGAGCCTCGAGATCTGCGAGATATACCACGGGAGGCCAGAGATATACGTGACCTCCCGCGGGAGCCCCGGGAGATACGCGATCTGCCTCGAGAACCACGAGAAATACGCGATTTACAGCGGGACCCTCGCGATATACGTGATTTACCACGGGAGCTGCCACGGGAGCCACGGGACGTACGTGATATGCCACGAGAACCACGCGATATACGCGAGTTGCCTAGGGATCCCCGAGAAATACGTGACGTCCCTAGGGAACCAAGAGAAGTACCTCGAGAGCCCCGAAGTGAGCGTGAACGAGGGCCAGGGCCGGGAGGTTGGGCGCCGTGGCCTAATAGGGAGGAGGGCTGGTGGAGCTTTCCTGGAAGGGAGCGAGAAAGGAGGGAAAGGGAAAGGATGGATGTTCGAACGATCGATAGAGAACGACTAGAGGCAAGGGAGCGGGAAAGAGAGAGAGAGCGAGAAAGAGAAAGGGAGAGGGGGAGAGTTTCCCCTCAAGGGCGTACTGTACACGATGTGAACCGGGGGAGAGAGCGGGAAAGAGAGAGAGAAGTATTCCGCTCCCCTGCAATGGCGAGCCTTGGCATGGATGGGCCATACGGGCCAGCTTCAAGAAGAGGTGAGTGTTCTTAAAGTATCCTCTCGACTTTACAGCTCACATTGCCTTTCAGATGACAAAACAGCGTCCAGACCGATTAATCCTACCCCCATTAACTCTACGCGGTCAATTGTTGACGAAAGGGAGCGTGCTGAGCAATTAGGTGAACGAATGGAGAGGGATCGCATGGAGAGGGAACGTATGGAGCGAGAACGTATGGACCGACACACACCTAAGCCTTTCGCGCCAGGATCGCTTCCTCAGCGACAATTCCAGAATCAATTCCATACACAGTTCGTTCCTGCCGCATCTGGTCCAGCTGGCATTCCGGTGGGGGGACCTCAAGGGATGGTTTTCGATAATTCCAACAAGAAACGGGAGCGAGAGATGGTACGAGATTCTCGGGGAGGAAAGAGACCGAGGCTATCCCGTCCAGTTCGAAGCAAGGTGAAACTACATATGGAACATATATTTGGCCCAAGGTACCATTCCCCTTCCATTTCCCTCCGCCGACACCCAAAGAGGAATTCCCACCTTTACCGAATCCAGTAAAGGAAGGCGAGGAAGATGCAGTCATCGTAGACTGTGAGCGTCTTGCTGAAGTCCTTGTGCCAAGTGGTTTCTTTCCCGATTCCCGGCCACCACCGGGGAAAACCAAAATATGGGGTGGGGGTGACTCGGAAAGGAGAGTTTACACGGACGATTCAGATATCTTTTCGTGCGCTGTGCACGCAGGTTGGGTCACGTATAGCGGTGCAAGAAAGGCAAAGAAGGAAGGGAATGATCTGAGAGTACGTATAAGGATCATCCGGGTTTCAGGAAGAGGTCCAGAGATCGGACATTCCAAAGAGGAGGTCATCGGCCGATTTTTGGGCGGATGGGGTGAGGGTGAGGGCGAGGGCGAGGAGGATGACGGACGAGGAATGATGAGCTGCGGATGGGGAACTGGCCATGATGGGAGTGCTATCGAGGTACTCGGGGTGGAGTGGACCAACAAACGAGGCGGTAGGGGCAAAGCAGGACGAAAGCAGAGATTGGACGAGTATAGGCAGCGACGGCAGGAGGTTATGTCTAGTCCTGAAGAATCCGAAATGATCATGATGACGTTTGGGTAGTTATATACTTCGTTGTATTTAGATAATTTATTTTTCGTGTTTTTTATGTTTTGTTCGTGATGGAAACCAACACCCACAACGATATACAAGTACGTAATACTAATGGTTGAGGCAGAGCCAAATTTTACTTTAAATATTTTCCAGTTTTTTCGTTGGATTTTTTGCTAAGTGTTTATCCCTTATGCAATGCGTCGATACGATCTGTCAACGTAGCTATAAGAAGACTGAGGTCCTTTCTATAACCGGCTGCACTAGGTCCCACAAGACTTCTAAAACTATGATTTTGAATATCGTAGCGCTCTTATTGAAACCAATTTTCCTTTTTACCGCGTGAGGAAGAAGTCAGAAAAGGCATGAGTATCTTGGACTATCGCGTTACATCATTAAGGTATACAAAATAAAAAGGGGTAACATAGTTAGATCAGCTGTATACCTTCACCCAAGCGAAATCGAAGTAAGCATCGGCGAAGGCACCAGGATTGTTGTTGACGTAGTCTTATTGATAAATTAGCTCCATCGCTGCTTTCAATTAAGTTGTTCACTCACCAACACAGGAGGAGGGACAGCCAGAGCTCGCATAAACATTTCCAGCCCAATCGCCACCTAAAGACGTTGTGAGACAAGGAGGGAGAGAAATAAAGAAAGGAGTACTTACAGAAAGTCACTGAGGTAATTCGCCTAGGTTAGCTCGTGAAAAGGGCGTTATAAATACACACTTACAATTGATAATGATATTTTGCGGACTGAAATGACTCGTCAATGAGCAGGAGGTGTTCGGGAAAGACGCAGCAGGGGTTCCCTGTGGCGCTTTTAAAACAACAGAATATCTAGATGAGAAAAATACTAACCCAGTTGTCGGTAATGACGGCACTGCCACCAGTACGGACTCCAGTGGGAACATTGGGGTCATTTCTGGACCAGAACCATATCTTGATGAATGAGTCGGTCCATTCCATGGCATACCTAAGAATATTCAATTAGTAGGTGTTCCGAGAAGTCAGTTGGGGACGAACCAGCCTCCGCCATTGTTATTGAAACCCGCGCCGTAGCTGACCGAGTTCTGTAGCTGGACGCCACAGCCCGAATTACTATTAGCATATACGTTGCAGTCGTTTTGCAGGGCAACTCTAAAGAAGTCTTCAATGAGAATTGGGGCTGATCGAGAAGAAAGCACACATACCCAGACTGAGTACGTGAACCGCTAGGCATAGTGCATCCTTGACATTTCATATCAGATTTCGGTCCGGGCGCGGTCAACGGAATGAACGTACCAGATGAGGTATGCAAAGTAGCTTGATTGCTTGCTTGGTTGTTAACACCCTCAATAATGTCTATTTCTCCCTAAAAATTGATTTGGTTAGCATGTGATTTTTATAGGGTCTGCAAGACCCCTCACCCCGTTGGGCCAGTTAGGGCCGACAGTCCATACCGCAGGCCAAGTGCTGGAAAAAACATTGGATTAACGTGAACTTTACCATATCGCAAACTACAAACCCGCATCCTTGTGGCATATGCCGTATGTTGAATCTGGAACGGACACATCAACATCAAGTTCTTCACTGTTTTCATATCACTCACACCATAGCGGTGTTGCTGCCATACTGCTTGTTTGACTGCAGACGAACAGAGTTACGACCAGGTCCGTTCGCGTTTAAGACGGTAGTAGCATCAGCGCGCAGGATGAAGGTGCTATCGGATGCGTAGGTTAGATTCTGAGCTTTAGATGTTGCAACGTTGACGTAGTTTCTACAAAGAGTAGTCCATTAGGATGAGCAGAAGGTTAACCTATCGACAAAGTCACATACACACGCCCGTTGGTGGGGTCAGAAATTGCTTGGTGCGAAAATCCAGAGTAAAATTGAGAACCAATAAAACTATCGCTCTGCTTGTACGATGCACCGAAGACAGGGGAGGCGAGCGTAGAGACGAGAGCGACCGCAG